ACACCAACGCCCAGCTAATCGCAATTATATTTCACGGACAAGGTGACTTAAATTAGAGAACTTTTAGTAGGGGGCCCATTTTGTAGTTTTTTGGGAGAAGGGCTGCATTTTGAGTTGCAACCAGCTTTCTTTTTCAAATTATAGTAAAGTATAAATTTAGATTTATTCTCAAGATATCTGCCTGTCTTGTGCTTTTCTCTAATACCAATGATTTGGATATACTTTAGTCTCTTCAAGAAAATGAAGAGGAGGAGATTGGGAACCTGGAACTTGCCTGGGATATGCTGGATTTAGCAAAGATCATTTTTAAACGGTAAAACTCTTGATGCCTTTAACTGGGGACTTATGGATAAAAATAGAAAGTATTTTTTAAGGATCAGACAATTATTTTTAGGGCTTTACTAATCATCTTTCTTTTTAGGCAAGAAACAAAAGAAGCCCAGCTTTATGCTGCACAAGCCCATCTTAAACTTGGAGAAGTTAGTGTTGAATCTGGTAATGCATTTTCCATTTTGCTGTCTCCTAACTTCCCCAAATGTCCCCATTCTCCTGTTTCTATAGACATAGGAATTGAAGGTCTGAGTTCCTTATATTGCCTCTTGCAATGAACAGCCTCGTAAATGGTTTGTCCTGACTGGTAATCCAAGGGAGAATGAAGCCGAGACAGGTGGACCTCTGAACTCAAGACCAGCATGATCACATAGTTCTAGGCTAGCCAGAACTATATTTAGACACTGGTTGGAAAGAGGGAGAAAAAGGGAGGAGGAAGAGATAGAAAGGAATGTAAAATGAGAATCCATTCCTGAACTAAATTCTGAAAGTGCTTTATATTAAATGATGTTCAATTCTTATTGTTCTGTCTTCATTAGAGAATTATATCCAAGCTTTGGAGGAGTTTCAGGCTTGCCTAAGCCTCCAAGAACAATATTTGGAAGCCCATGACCGTCTCCTAGCAGAGACCCACTACCAGTTGGGTTTGGCCTATGGTTACAACTCTCAGTATGATGAGGCAGTGGCACAGTTTGGCAAATCTATTGAAGTCATTGAGAAGAGAATGGGTGAGTGAACAGCAGCTCTTTTATGCTTAGATGATGCAGCAATTTACTGTGTGGAAAAAGGGTCCTTTTGTCATTAACGATTTAGGTCTTTCTTTGTAGCTGTACTCAATGAGCAGATGAAGGAGGCTGAAGGATCGTTTACTGAGTATGAGAAAGAAATTGAGGAACTGAAAGAACTGCTACCTGAAATTAGAGAAAAGATAGAAGATGCAAAGGAGTCTCAGCGTAGTGGGAATGTAGCTGAGCTGGCCTTGAAAGCTACTCTGGTTTGTTGAGTTTAATTCCTCAGTAACATACTTGTATGGTACAGTGACTGTCTAGAAACAGAAATATGCCTGCCTCTGTCTCCTGAATGTTGGGATTAAAGGTTTGCACTTTAATGGGGTTGATCAGAATGAAAGCTCATCTCAATTTGTAGCAAATAGTACAGTGATTAGAAAGCATGCTGTGAGCCGGGCGTTGGTGGCGCACGCCTTTAATCCCAGCACTCGGGAGGCAGAGGCAGGAGGATCTCTGTGAGTTCGAGGCCAGCCTGGTCTACAGAGCGAGTTCCAGGACAGCCTCCAAAGCCACAGAGAAACCCTGTCTCAAAAAAAAAAAAAAAAAAAAAAAAAAAAAAGCATGCTGTGTATGTGAACAGACTTGTTTAAAATCTGTCCCTGCTACTTTGTGTGACCATGGACATTTATCTTCGCCTTTTGTATAAATACTATGTTATCTGTGTTAAGAGTGTTTTTGACAATACCATATAGAAGAGTTATTGAGTGTCTTAATCCTAAATTGCCTGGCTCTGCTTCTGGCTACTGGCATGCTAGGGATTGTTCTGTGTTGGGAATAGGACATGAAGGGTTTAGTTTCCACGACTATTCTTGGGTTTCTGGGGTGTCTTTGTGTGGAAGGCCTTGCTGAGATGCTGATGACATGATTTGTCAAGTGCTGGGTAACTTAAGCCTGGGTACTAGGGTTCTGTGCTGCAACTTACTTGTGTCTGTGTGATAGGTGGAGAGTTCTTCTTCAGGTTTCACTCCTAGTGGAGCTGGCGCCTCAGTCTCAATGGTTCGTATTGTGTTTTTTCAATAAGCCTACTATGAGTTAAATAAAATTTTTGTAAATTGCTAATAACAAAGACTTATTTTTGCCAGATTGCCAGTAGAAAACCAACAGATGGTGCTTCCTCGTCAAATTGTGTGACTGATATTTCCCATCTTGTCAGAAAGAAGGTAAAATTTACATGTACTTATTTATATTTAAACCTTTTTAAACTGCATTTCAGTATAGAGCGTTTGAAATAATACACTAGCTTATAGTTGACTCACCCTCTTAAGTAGCACAGTGCAAAGACATCTCAAGCTAAGGCTTTCCAAAGAATGTTTTCACTTAGAATACCTTACCTAGCAAACTTATGGCTTGGAAAGCTTAAGAGGATCAATTAGATGAGTACGCTTTAGAATCTGACTTGTTTTGTTCAGTAGTAGGCCTATTTTGCCAATAGTCCCAATCAATAATTCTTTCCCTGTGTGGTAAATCTTCTGTCTTTACTGACTGAAAATAGGTAATTTATTTGTACTCCTTTACTGTTCAGGTCAGTACCCCTCATCCTTTGGGGAAATTTTAAAGTAAAAATACATTGGGACATACCTGTTTATGCCTCTGTGTAGCTGTCAGCATTGCTTCTAACTAGAGAGTAGATTGATTGTTCCATAGAGTTGAGCGTCAGGATGTGCAGTATATTGACACAACAGGGATGTGGAATTATTTTGCAATTGTCTTAAAATATGAAGCCCTCCTTCATAATTCTGTCTTTAGAGGAAACCAGAGGAAGAGAGCCCCCGGAAAGATGATGCAAAGAAAGCCAGACAAGAGCCAGAGCTGAATGGAGGCAGTGGGGATGCTGTCCCCAGTGGAAATGAAGTGTCAGACAACATGAAGGCTGAGGTGGGAGTTTTAAGACGTGGCCACTTGCCTCACCTGTTGTTTGGGTCTTGGAGGCCAGGACTCAGTGCATATGGGACACTCACAAAAACTGATTGTTCTGAAAATAGTTTCCTTATGAAGTAATTGGATGTCTTGACAGATGGATTTTATTTATTTTTCTGATGAATGTGTAGAAAGCCACCAGAACAGCAAGACTACTTGATCATTCCATATAATATGTCAACTGTTAGCTGTGTCAGCCTTATCATTTTTATAGTCCTTGTTCCCTTAGATTTACTTATGACTGAAGCCTGCATATATTATGCCAGGGTAAGTTATACCTAGGCTCTTTGTCTTTCAGGCTACGAATCAGGCTGAAAGAGCGGCAGCAGAAGAGGGGACAGTGGAGTCTGCAGCTACAGTAGAAAGCTCTGCAGCTACAGTTGAAGGCGCTGCATGCTAAAGAGGGAGCAGAACCTTTCTCCTGAGGGAAAGTGGTTTTGTACATAATGTATTTTTTCACTTTTGGGGATTCTTTTTGTATAACTTCAATAAAGATTGTAGGCAACAGCTAAGGCTTTGATGACTTTTTTCTTAAATATTGGCAGAATCTATGATGTCTTGGGGCATTAGGTTTTTGTTTTTGGTGTATGTATGTGTTTGTGTATTGCTTTTGGACAACCTACTTCCTGTCTGGAGGAGCCCTTCATCTTTGGTGCTATATTTCTATTTCTAAATAATTGGCTGTATTTAGGTGTCTTGCATACTTTCCGTGGTGCTGTTCCTGGATGGGGTCTGCGAAACAAGAACTGATAGGAATGCTGCTGAAAATGGATGATGGAATGTGAACTAGGTGCCTATTTTCTGTTCATCTGATTTCCAATTTTGGGCCATAATCGTATCCTGGAAAAACTGATGGATACTTGGGAAGTGATCTCTGAGGAAAACGGTGTTTTAAATTAGAGACATGAGCTCTGACTGGAAAGGCTCAGGAAGAATCTGGACGAGGACAAAGTCTGTTCTATATAGAAAGGTTCCAGCATGTCAATAATTAGAATTGTTATATTGTCTGCAATTTTGCCTTATAAAAATAAATATGCTAATTTAAAAAACCAGTTCGACCTTGTTCTGGAATTACACTTCAAAGACCTTACAAGAAGGGTCCTGGGTTGCCTGGTACCTCTTTGTGGGATATGGGGTAGAGTGGCAAGCTATTCCATCAGTTCTGGGTGTACAGTTAAGGGATGGTGGTCATGCTAATGTGACAATCAGTGTATGAATCAAACAGACCCTTCCTGAGCTGCCTTATTAAGGGTCTTTTTTTTTTTTTTTTTTTTACGAGACCGGGTTTCTCTGCTTTGGAGGCTGTCAGTCTAGCCTGGCCTCGAACTCACAGAGATCTGCCTGCCTCTGCCTCCCGAGTACTGGGATTAAAGGCGTGCGCCACCAATGCCCGGCATAAGGGTGTTTTTAAAATGCCACCATTGAAATAGATTCCCCTCATTGCTGTTAGAGCAGTATAGTGTTGAGGATGGTGGTGTGCTGAATGAAAGTTTTTCAGTTATTTTCCAAACTCTCTGGGATGGTCACTAAAGCTTGGCTCATCCTGACTTTGAAGTGTCTTCTTGAGATGTCTTTGTATTATTATATTCTGAGTCCTAAAGTGTTTTTCCCCATTGTCTTTGCAGTTGGATCAGACTTGATATGACCTGTACAAGATCTTTGCTGATTGCATCTATAGTTGGGTCCAAAATAATATTCCAGTACATGATCCTCTGCTTGGCTGGAACATAATTGGGCTAAGGTCTACCCTGGAATCTCAATCTTCAGGAAATTCCTGTATGTTGGAAGATTAATATCGTGGAAAGTCCTGGGAAAGTTGTGAGTGGAGTGAAGTTTGCTGATAAAGCTGGCTTTAGTAAGGCCTAGCTATTTTCAGAGATTGGAATGCCATGCCATTACTGTGAATATCTGAAATCATTTACTGCTATGTGCTTTTCAAAAGGAAACAGATGCAGGAAAAAGATCTAGCTGGCTTGCTTGAAGTTTACTGTTAATTCCAGACTTCATTAGAAAAGCTGCAGGTCTAGAAACAGGCCATCAACCTCAGAAACTTTATGGAGTCATAACGAGTGAGGGCTCAAATGCTCATCTTTATCCTTGACACTGATGAAACCCTCTTCTGTGGGAGGTTGGGGATCAGCAAATCCAGAATTGTGGGTGAGGGAACTGGTTTCCAGTGAAGATGAATTGGATACCTGTAGAACATGAAAAGGTAGGGGTTTTGTTTTTAAAACAAAAATTAGTTATGTTTCTGCTACACTGTTTATTTAATGGGTAAATTTTAAGGAGCAAATGGGTTAATTATAGTCATTGATGCATACTAGCTAATTAACAGAAGTTCATCAGTCATGCTTCCTAGCTGCAGTAGACTCTTACCAGTGGTGGGTACTGGTATTCATGGGCACTTGCTGGATTGATCTCTGTCAGTGTATGGACATCTGCATCTCTTGCATTCACAAGCCTCAGAAAGAGCTCACCTTGACCTGGCTGGGAGAAGGCAAGTGGTAATGAATCTTGGAGTAGGCTCAGTCCCTACCCTCTGCACTCACCTGGGGAATCTCATTCAGCTGGCTAAATCTGAGGTTTGCCTTAGGAAGGGACCGAAATGGGAGACGCCATCGACCACTAAGCATCTGCTTATCTTGGTCAAATAGCAATAGTGAAGCCCAAGCCTTAGGCTGTGGTGCCCATGTAACTCCCTGCCATGCCTGTAGTTCACAGATCAAAGATACCAGTGGTGATGGAGGCAACCTGTAGAAGCAGCAAAGCCATGTTGTAAGACCTTCCTAGGGATTTTATAGGACTCGGCCCTCTTAAACAATGAGATGAAGCCTTCATGACTGACACCTACTGCTGACCTGGGTACAGGCTGCCTGCTTGCAAGGATGGCACAGTTGCCCATAGGTCCAGCAGGTGAAGGTGGTGGTAGGCAAAGGGCTGGAGGCAATGCTGTGGTCCCTCCTGTATCGTGTCCATCCCGGGCCAAGCTTGTCATTAGCTGCACCCAAATCCACGAAGCCTCAAGGCCCCACAGGAAGTCATAGAAAATGACAAGGCCAGCCCTGAAGAATAGGAGTCTAAGAACACAGAACACCATATCCCTGTCCCCAGTCTGTACTCAACCCTGGATAGCTTTTGTTCTTAAACGTCAGTCGTGGCTGAGTTAAAGAGACTGAAGGAGGGAGCAGGCCTCACCCAGGATCATAGGGTGCAGGGCCCAGAACATCAGGTGCTGGTAGGATGTGTCGATCCAGTCCTAAATTCCTTGTCATGGTTACATTAAGTACCTGCTGTGGACAAGAATTCAACCATACAGAACTGCAAATTGCCTATGCTTCCCAAAATGCATGTCAGGATTGCCAGCCATCAACCCAGTCTCTGCCAACTTCCTCACAGATGTTGCAGTGCCATGGGAGTTGTGGACATTTGTGGGGCTGGCAAGTGGTGGCATTGCAGGTGCAGCTGGTGGGAGGAGGGGGTTATCACCCCTTCTGCTCAGGTGTGGCCAGAGGTCACGTAGGAGGTGGTGCTCCCTGGGTCCTAGAAACACAGTTGGCTTGAGCTGGAGGAAGTCTTAAACTGAAACAAGAAATCAGAAGACTACAGGGTCATCTACCGAAGACACAAGGATAGGTGCATAGACACAAACGAATGACACAGACATGGGCCTCATTCTCCAGGAATGGTCCCTTCACCCCCTCTCCTGGGTTGGGTTCCCTGGAATGGTGAGGGAGGGGTTGGGTTTTCACTGACCCCAAGGCGCCAGACTCAGGCCCTTCTGCAAGGCCTGGATTTCTGCTTCCAGGATCCGGTTTTCAGCTTCTACCACTAAAAGTTCCTCAGAGGTGGCACTTGCTTTATCTGAGAAGAATTTAAGAGACGTGCCATTCCTTGCTTTATGTAGTTCTCCAACATTAAGGTTTTCTGCACAAGCCAGAATTCTTCAGCTGACAATGGGTTTTCTACCTAGAGCTCAGGCGGCTCCCATGCTAGTGGTGCCTTCCTTCCTCACACCCTTTTCTCCTCCCAAGTCTAGGAACTTAGTGTGGAAAGGCCCTCTAGGCTGGCCCCTTCTGTTCACCCTTGCGGTTCTGCGAACGCCGCAACTCCAGGGCTGAAGCCTCCACTTGCAGCTGCCATATTTTGTCCAGAAGTCCAGGGTCCCGGCCTCCACCGCGCACGTAGGCCTCACGTAGGGCCCTAGCAAGTAGGCAGCATAAAGCAGTCTCCCCAGACTGAACAGCCTCCCACTCCTATCACCCCCGTGCCAGCCCGGGACCTCACTGGATCTCTGCGGGAAGCGTTCCTGGCTTGACCGGTAGCGATGTGGAACAGGAGTCTAGCTCCTTAAAATAATCCTGTGGGATCCTGGCGCGGAAAGATGATGTCACTGACCCGCGCCGGAGACTCAGCCCCGCCCACAGTCGGGCAAGGCTGGGCTGGAGCCTCACCTCGGCTGTGACTGGATCGCCAAGAGGCGAGCACCCAGTGATTGCAGAGCAGCCCGCGTCCGGACGGCCTCGGCCCTGAGTTCTCCGAGCTCGCGCTCGAGCCCGAATGGCGCGGATAATCCTCCCCTGAGTCCCGCTACGCCAAGGAGGCGCCGTTTTAGTTCTGAGAGAGACAGGGGCCGAGTCAGGGTGAGTCCTAGCACAACGGTTAGGCCCAGCGGCAGTGCCTGCCCCTCTCACCCTGGCCGCGGCGCTCTAGGGCCCGGCTTTGGGCTTCTGTCTCCTCCAGGCGCTTGGCGCGGGTTCCCTGCAACGCCCGCAGCCTTTCGCTAGGGCTTCCAGCAGTCTGGGAGGTGGGACCCTCAGTCGCCCAGAGACGCATTTCCTGTGGGGACAGTCTCAGCAACTGCACCTGCTATTTTTGAACTGGTGATCTACCGCAACTAGTATCTACAGATAACGAAGTTTGTAGCTATGTTGGGTGTGTACCTCCTCTGTCAACCTTTTTAGAGCAAGTTTGCTGGCCTCTTGCTCTGAACGGCTCTGTTCTTGTCCTGCAATCTGGGGGCAGAGAGAAGACTCCTGAGAATCTTGCTTGCTGGGAAACCTAGCCAAAGCCATAGGTGACTCTTACCGTGGTGCCCCTTTGGTCCATGGCTACTGAAGGCTGCGTCCCACGTGTGACCTCCGCAGTCAGACGGCCAATGCAGAATCGCTGTGTGTGGATGGCTAACAAAGCCCAGGAGCTGAAAACCATATCACAGGACTTACAGGGCAGAGATCCTGAATCCCCAGAGTAATTGGCCATGGGATCTGTTACTGAAACTAGCGGGAGTCAGTCCCACAGAGATGGCAAAGGAGAAGCGAAAGAGGAGAAAAGGCCAACTCTGTTACATCTCCAAGATCTTCAAATTTATGTTTGTGTTTGCGGAGGTGCTCTAGCTCCCTTGACAGCAAGTTACAGGCCTAGGCAGGTCTTGTCACCTTTGGGAGGAGCCCCAGTAAATGAAGTTCACACAGCCGGTTCCACCCACTGCTTAAGTTTGGACAAGTGGGTGGCGCTTTGATTTCCTTGGCTATAGAAAAGACAGCCTCTTTGCTTAGCTGGGCCTTTTATTAGTTTGGTCATTTCCTAGCCTCTGTCAGGCAAGTGCTGTCTCTATCGCTGCTGTTCTCTGAAGTGGATAGAATTCAAGTTAGTGCTATTCTCCACTACAGGGAACTCTTGAAGTTGTATTGTGCCTGGAAGCCATCTTTCCCACACAAGGTAAAGCTCATAGAACAGTATGCCTCTAAACAAACCCCTTTACAGAATTAACCCACCAAATGTAGTTGTCTCTGTACCTCCCATTCTGGGACTCCGGTTTTTCCAGCTGTAGACAGAGAAGAAATGAAAACCAGGGGATGGGTTGGGGAGTGTATATGAGATAAAGGAATCAAAGATTGGTCAAATTATCTTGAACCCAACAGAAATCTATGCATCAGGATGAAAAGTAGAAATTTTCAAAGCACTCCTTTCCTAAACAAGACAGGACCTTAAGGTGTTTGCCCCAAACACCCCAAGTATGAGGGACAACTTACGAAGTGTCTTAATGTATGTACTCGATTCAGCTTAATTCCAACAGGGAAAAGGAACATAACTTGAGAAACGTTTTTAAAAACAAACTAGTAAGTGGTTAATCTCTATCCATTTCTCAACCCCAAGTTTGATTTTTTTTTCCAACAACATTCTTAATTCATTGATTTAAAGGTACTTTGTTGTTGTGTGTATGGATATTTTGCCTGCACACTACATGTGTGCAGATCATGAGGAGTCTAGAAGCTGGAAACCCTGGGACTATAGTTAAGTTATGGCTGCTATTTGCATTCAAACCCTGGAACACTGAAAGAGCAGCCAGTGAATACTCCACTGGGCCTTTCTCCAAATCCAGCATGTATTTTGTTCGTTTTTTGGTTTTATGAGACAGGGTTTCTCTGTATTGTTTTGGAGGCTGTCGGTCCAGCCTGGCCTCGAACTCAGAGATCTGCCTGCCTCTGCCTCCCGAGTGCTGGGATTAAAGGCGTCGGCCACCACTGCCCGGCTATCATTTATTTTTTTTAATGTTTACATCAGGACTCAGAAATGAGCATTATGCTGAAGCTGCCAAGTTATCCTTTTTAGGTTGATGTTTTCTGGTTCTAGGTATAAGATCCAGGGCCTTGGGCATGCAATGCAAGTGTTCTGCCAATGAGCTACATCCCTACCTGCAAGTTTCCTTAACACATCTTAAAACTCTAACATTTAGTTTGTGCATATATGTACATGCCAATAAGCATATGCATGACAAAACATGTGAAGGTCAAAGGGACAGTTTGAGGGAGTCAACTGTCTACTTCCATCATGTGGGTGCCAGGAATCTCACTCATTGAGCCATCTTAGTGGCTCCAAAATAAACATGGGTATGAAACCAAAACCGTGATCTCTGCAAGAACAGCAGGGTTCTCATAAACACTAAGACCTCTTTACTCATTTTGTGTGTATGTGTGCACAGGTGTGCATGCCATGTGCACATATACAACTCTATTCTTTTCCTGTCCCCCAAGCAGCTCCCAAATAATCAGATGATTAATTACAAATGATTTGCCAATAACTCAGGGTTGTTACTAGCTAACTCTTACATTTGAAACAACCCATAATTCTTATTTATGCTTTGCCCATGTGGCTTCATACCTTTCCCACCTAGCCTTATTCTGCTCAGCTATTAGCAAGTCAGCTTGTTTATTAACCCAGTTGGAGTCACAAATCTTTAGTGTACTAACTCAGAGAACACGTTGTGGGAGTAAGTTGTACCACCTCATGGTCACAGGGATTGAATGCTAGTTGTCAGACTTAGTGGGAAAGTACCTTAATCCATTTTACTAGCCCAGTCAACAATTCTCACTGCTCCATCTCAACCGTCATCTTTGTGATTTGCAAATGGCTCACTCATTTATGCTGTACTATAAGAAGCACAGGCTGTCACATACTCTTCTGCAGTCTACCTCTTGGTCTTTCCACTGGCCAGCCCTGGTTCATTCATTCCCCACTGTGTCCTTTTTTTTTTTTTCTCTCCTTGAGACAGGCTCTCTGTATTGCTTTGGAGCCTGCCCAGAAACTTGCTTTGTGGAACAGGCTGGCTCTGAACTCAGAGAGCCACCTGCCTCTACCTCCCGAGTGCTGGGATAAAGGAGTGAGCCACCAACACCCGGCTGTATCTAGTTCTTGTTAAGTAGTAAAACCAAGTGAGGCCTCCTTTAAAAGTCATAAAATCCCCAAACACATGCATATTGGTAAATCCTGGGCACTAAAAAAAATTCTTTCAGGAAAGGAAAGGTAGTTTATTTTGAATAATTTATTGCACAGGTTCTTCTGCATCAGGGGTTTTTGCTGAAAAGGAATTCAGGTGGGGCTGAATTCAGTTTTCTCCCAGAATTCTAAAAATATTTCCCCTAAAAAAAAGAATTTACTCTCTAATTTTAAAGAAAATATATTTCTTACACAAGACAATCCAAACTGATGCAAAATATTTATTCCACGTTAGTTATTTTATGCAGTAGTTTTCCCCCTCAACAGACTTGTGATAACCACATCTTTTAAATCTGTAAATAATGTTATCAAAATAATCTTAATCTTTGAAATCTCACAAAAATTCATATTTTACAATCCACCCTGAATATCAAGGCTGCAAGAATAACATTTCCTATATCCAAATATTTTACAGCTGTACCCAGAAAGAAAAAAACAACAACAAAAAAATAAAACAAAAAACAACCACATATGCTTGGTTAAGGGCTAAGTTACCCGAGCAGCCAAAAATAAAATAAAATATCCAAATTATTAGCATTAATTTAATACAATTATAACTTCAATAGTCACTTTGTCATTGACAATGATTGCTTGAGCACAGGGGTGAGTGTCCAAGGGCTGGTAGTAGAAGCTGCTGAGCAGAGCAGTGTCTCCCCCTGCATCTCTGCACTGCCAGCTCCCACCTGTGCACGGCCCCACAGGTACTATGTATGTGCTTTAAAATTCCACCACACATATCTCTCTATTAAGCAGATAACAGGGAACAACAACAAAAGCTAAGCAAGACAATTGCTCTCTCTTTGGGATATGATTATTTCCCTTGTGCATGAAGTATTCAACAACGTAAGAAAGGAAAAGAACACTTTTTATATTCTCTAAACACAAAGCTGAGCTGAGTGGGGCAGGTCAACTGTGAGCACTTTTACTTCTACTTCCAGGCGTCGTCGTCTGACGTCTCACTACTGCTTGTTTCTGTGTCGGAGTCCTCACACTCTACATTGATAGTGCTTCTCCAAGGGGAGAACAGGCTAGAACCGCGGCTCAGCTGGAAGCCATTCCTTCCAAACCCATTTCTTCGTAGCTATGGAGCATAGGAGAGAAAACAAAACCCTTCAATGACTATACTGGTCCATGAGGATTGAACTGCCAATAGAGGAGAAATCCCAAGAGATCTAACACCTCCTAAAGTGGTACTTCTCAAACTTCAGTAAGATGACCCTTTCAAGGAATTCATTTGTTTTATTTAGAAACAGGGTCTTAACTGTGTAGCCCTGGAACTCCCTATTTAGACCATGTTGGCCTTAAATTCAGAGATGTGCCTGCCTCTGCCTCAAGTGCTGGGCTGAACTTGTGAAGACATATGCTACAATACCTGGATCATCTAAGCAGAAAAAAAAAAAAAAAAAAAAAAAAAGCTCAGTCTAAGTATGTCTAGTTTGGGATTTTAGAGTCCCCACTTTTTATGTCAGCCTGTACATTGCCCTATGATGAGACTTCCCAGGTGCCATTTATGCTTTTTCTATTATCATTTATTACTGTTTTTTTTTTTTTGAGACAGATTTGCTTGTGTAACCACCCTGGTTGTCCTGGAACTCTCTCTGTAGACAAGGCTGGCCTCAAATCAGAGATCAACCTGTTTCTGCCACTCAAGTGCTGGGATTAAAGGCATTTGCCAACACTGCCCAGCCAAGATTTTTTTGGTTTTTTACGAGACAGGGTTTCTCTGTAATGTTTTGGAGGCTATCGGTCCAGCCCAGCCTCGAACTCACAGAGATCCGCCTGCCTCTGCCTCCCGAGTGCTGGGATTAAAGGCGTGCGCCACCACCGCCCGACAAGATTTTTATTATTTTTTTTATTTTTTATTTTTTTGGTTTTGCGAGACAGGGTTTCTCTGTATTGTTTTGGAGGCTGTCCTGGAACTAGCTCTTGTAGACCAGGTTGGCCTCGAACTCACAGAGATCCACCTGCCTCTGCCTCCCAAGTGCTGGGATTAAAGGCATGCGCCAAGCCCGGCAAGATTTTTATTTTTAATCATCTGTGTTGTGTCTATGGAAGCCGGAGACCTCAAACCCTATTGTGCTGGAGTTACATGTAGTTCTGAGTCAATATTGCTGCTAAGAATCAAACTCCAATCCTAGGCAGGAGCTGGGTGCCCTCTTAACCACTGGGGGATCTCTCTGCAGTCCATTATCTATGCTGCAGATGGATGGCTACAGACAGTGAGAGAGGCCTTTAGAAATTTCATTTCTTTTGTTCATTTTTGTATTGTAAACCTAGGATCTGATAGTGTTTTACTCAGTAAGAATCCAAGCTCTGGTCATAGTCCCAGAAAGATAGGATCATTTTTCCTAAGGATTCAGGAGCACAGCATGTGGTTCTGCTAAGGGGTTAGAGCTGTAAGCATGGGGCCTGTTACTTACTTTGCAAATCTGCTCATGGGCCTGGCTTATATCATCTGTGATTCCTACTGTATAGGCAGCCTGACACCCATCATTCTATTTCTACAGTAATTTAAGTCTTTCTCTCAACTTTAGGGTTTCCTGGTCAGTTACAGAAGCACATGACTATAATCTAAGCAATTATAAGGCAGAAGCACAGGCAAGAGGGCTGCTGCAGATTCAAAGTAGCCTGCCTGGTTTACAAAATAATGTTCCAAACTACCAGGACTATTTCCTGTGTGTGTGTGTGCGTGTGCGTGTGTTTTGAAACAGGGTCTCTCTGTGTAGCCTTGGCCCTGGAACTCACCCTATATATCAGGCTGGCCTCCAACTCACAGAGATCCACCTGCTTCTGCCTCCTAAGCGCTGGGATTAAAGATGTGCGCCATCACCACCCAGCTCTTTTTGTTGTAATAATTTATTATTATTTTATGTTCATTGGTGTTTTGCCTGCCTGTATGTCTGTAAGAGGATGTTAGAAGTTGTAGAACTGGAGTTAACTCCAGTTGTGAGCTGTCGTGTAGTTCTGGTAATTGAACCAGAGTTCTCTGCAAAAGCAGTCAGTGCTCTTAACTACTCAGTCCATGTCCCCATCTCTCCAGTCCCTGTGTTCCTCTCTCCCTCTCCCCCCTAACCCCCCCTTTCTGAGAAAGGGTTTCCCTGTGTAGGTAGCCCTGGCTGTCCTGGAACTGGATGTAGACCAGGCTGGGATTAAAGTCGTGCAAAACCACCACACTTGGTGAGAGCCTGTCTAAAGACAGGGCTCAGGGCTGAGTGCATACCTGCTCTGTTCTCATATGGAACTCCTTGAGCTCATCCTCTGTGAGTGGAAGGCAATTCTCATCATTTTCAGGATATTCCTGCCATCCCATTGCTTTTAACAACCTGGAGGATGCAAAAACATGATGCCAGTAAGCTTGACTACACAGGTTACTAGCACCCATGGGAAATGCCTGTCCAAGGCCAATGGATGGATGTTATAGAAGAATTTTGTTTTCTCCCTAGTTGGTCAAGTTTCTCAGGTGCTCATAATTAGACAGAGGCTCTTCATGGTTAAAGGGAGAATGATACCTTAAAAGAGTAGAAACAAAAAATAAGATGGCACAAAAAACAAAATAAAAAACCAAAAACCTCCTATAAGGAACCTTTTCATAGATCCAAACAGGAGGAGGAAGAAATTACTCTTTGTTCCTTGTGAACAAATTAGCATATCTCTGTGCTCTATAGCTCTTTCAACTTCATGACTTTGTAGATAGATCTCTCACACAACCTCGATAACCTGAAGTTCCTTTGGCCCAGTGGCTCTTAACCTGTGGGGCACAACTCTTTTGGGGGGGGGGTCAAAATATTTACATTATGATTCATAAAATGTAGATTAATGTTATGGTTGGGGTCACCACAACACGAGGAACTGGTATTAAAAGGTCACAGCATTAGGAAGGCTGAGGACCACAAACTTCCTGTGAGGAAGGTATGCCCATACTTGGCAGGTGTCATGTGCTATGTGGTTGTAGAAAGTAGATTACTTTATATACAAGGTCTTCAGTTCAAACAGTCAGTTCCACTAAAATGGAGGTGGCCCAAATCTTTAATCTCAGCACCTGGGAGGCAGAGGCAGGCAGATCTCTGAGTTCGAGGCCAACCTGTTCTACAGAACATGTTCCAGGATAGGCTCCAAAGCTATACAGACAAACCCTGTCTGAACAAAAAACAAAAACCGAAACCAAACCAGTTGGTTCCACATACAGGCTTCGCAAGACCCCTTTAAAGAGATTTTATAGTAATTGCTCAGTTGGGCCAACAACATATCTGTGAAAATCTTGTCTTTCCCATGACTATTCCTAAATCCAAGACTGAAATTAAACTTCACAAAAAATGGGGTTATTGTGAAACAGGGGACCAAATTCCAGAGAATGCCCAGTGGGCAATAGGGTAACTGGGGTACCAAAAGTAAGTCAGATTTCATGGTCACAAGTTTTAAATATGTTTAAGGGTCTCATATACCATACATCTTATCCTCACCTGTGCTCTGCTTCCAGAGAGTGGGACAGGACCTCCCCTTCTTCCACAATGGGTAGAGAAAGACCGTTCTGAAGACAACCTTGTTCTCCATTTTCCTTTGGTTCGGGTATGTGGCTGCCCTCCAACTTGCAAAAGAAGGATAGACAGACTTAGTTCAATGACAGTTTCTAGCAAGATAAGCAACTAGCAAAACTGAGGAGTTAGAATAGTGTTTCCCAGCCGGGTGTTGGTGGCGCACGCCTTTAATCCCAGCACTTGGGAGGCAGAGGCAGGTGGATCTCTGTGAATTCGAGGCCAGCCTGGTCTACAGAGAGAGTTCCAGGACAGCCCCCAAAACAATACAGAGAAACCCTGTCTCAAAAACAAAAACAAAACAAAAACAAAACAAACAAAAAAAAAGAATAGTGTTTCCCAGACCACATCTCACCCTTAACCTACAAAGGTTTTTCCCACTTAAAAACTGATACCTGCTGTGCCAATAAACTAACAGGAGAGTCAAAAGATCCAGCACTGAAATGTTGGAGTGGGGTGGAACGGGCATTAACACACAATCACTAATCTAAATTTGTAGTGTATTCAGCAACTGAAGACAAGCAGAACAGAGCACAGGTTTTAAGCATGGCTGTGACTATTAGACAAAGCAACAAATGAGCAACCCACAAAAACCTTAACTAGACTTCATTAAAAACAAGTTTTGCTCTGTTAAAGACACTGATTAGAGAAAGATACAGCATAACAGCACATGCCAGTAATCCTAGTATTGAGAAGGCAGAGCCACCAAAATAAAAAATTCAAAGCCAGTATGGGTTATACAGCAAGACACAGCATCCCTTCCCACAAAGACAGGAAGCTAGATTGGGAGAAAATATGTGTAAAAGTTTTATCTAGTAAGGAAGTATTCTCTATGACATATGAAGAACACTTAAAATTTGACATTAATTTAACAATTTAATTAAGAGGAAGGGCTGGGAGGGGTGGTGTACATTTGTAATTCCAACACTTGGGACACAATGCCTCAACCCTCTGAGACATCTCACCAGCGCTCATGACTAATTTTGAATAAAAACTTGAGATGGCAATACATGTACCTCAAAATATAAAATCTAGACATGGTAATCCTACTTTAATTCTTAGCAGCGTACAATTATTCTTAAATTCTACATGTTAATATAAAATGCTTGATATTCAAATGTTCCTTCTAATAAAACCATACATAAAAGTATCAAGGCCAGGCTGGTATGTGCCTGGGATCCCAGCGCTCAGGAGGCAGCAGCAGGTTGACTCTGAGTTAAGAGACCAGTTTGGTTTACAGAGTAAGATCCAGGACAGTCAGGGCTAGCTACAACAGAGAAACTTTGTTTTGGGAAAAAATAAAATAAATAAATAAATAAATAAAAACCACCAAACCGGGCTGGAGAAAGAAAGGGCTCAGTGGTTTAAGAGCACTGACTTCTCTCCCAGAGAACCTTGGTTCAAATCCCAGCACCCACAACTGTCTCTAACTTCAAAACCTGACATTCTCACACAGACATACATGAGGACAAAACACTGATGCATATAAAATAATAAAAAGAAATAAAAAAGAAAAGACCAAACCATAACAAAACAAGAAACAAACAAAACCCCCACATACAACAACAAGAACAAAAACACATAGTACACCAGAACTCCACACTCTTACCCCCTCTAGCTTGTCACAGTCTCTGCTTTCTGAGCAGTCTCCATTCCGTTCATCCTTCAGAGTCTTCAGGAATTCACTCTTCCTGTCCGTGGTTCGGCGGGTCAATTTGGTCAGGCGAGAGGAGCTGATCTCAATTGGAGGGGTAGTACTGGAGGGACTCTGGGCAAACACCACAAATAGATTGCTCCTAACAGTAAATGGCAGAAACTAGGAATCTCTATGAGTTACTTTCTATACCTTGTTGATTTCTGTCTTTTGCTTGGGGGGAAAAAAAAAAAAAAAAACAGGGCTGGAGACAAGCTCAGTAATTAAGAACACAAGCTTTTCTTCTTAAGGACCCTGGATCAATTCCCAGAACCTATGGGTCAGGCAGCTCATAACATTCTGTAATTCTAGGGATTTGAGACACACATACAGACAAAACACCCATATACATAAAACAACAAAAACTCCCCATAAATCAGTTCATTTAAAAACATTAATTTTGTAGGACTTTTATAACACAGACCTGTTTTATATCATACACCTATTTTAATCCTTTCACAGAAACCAGGGGAGGGCCAATCTATTTATTGGAAGTTACTGTCAGATGAGTGTAGTCTGGTATTTGTTGTAACCACACTTCACATTGCATACCTTATTACAAACAGATGGGAAAGTCTAAGGGTTCTTTGTATGTACAAAGATCCCACCGTATATCAGAGGCTGGCCAGGAACTTAGGATGACGTTCTTGTCTCAGGCTGTATTGTGACTTAGGCATTTACACTGCTCAGAAAGAACAACTCATCCAAATTATTCCTTCACAATTTTTAAGAAATAGGTCAGGGGTTGGAGAGATGGCTCAGCAGTTAAGAGCACTGCTTGCACTGGGCGGTGGTGGCACAGGCCTTTAATCCCAGCACTCAGGAGGCAGAGGCAGGCGGATCTCTGTGAGTTCGAGACCAGCCTGTACAGAGCTAGTTCCAGGACAGCCTCCAAAGCCACAGAGAAACCCTGTCTCCAAAAAACCAAAAAAAAAAAAAAAAAAAAAAAAAAAGCAAAAGCAAAAAAAGGCAAAAGCACGGCTTGCTCTTCCAAAGGCCCTGAATTTAATTTCCAGCAACCACATGGTGGCTCACAACCATCTATAGTGAAATCTGGTACCCTTTTCTGGGACGCAGACATACATGCAAGCAGAATACTGTGTACATAATAAATAATTAAAAAAGAAAAAAATAGGTCGGTCACTGCAGATCCAAGGGATGTGATCTTATATAAATATCCAGGTAAAACACTCATACACTGAAAATAAATAAATCTTTATACAAGAGAAAGAAAGAAACTCCAACTTTTGTGCTGGGTATGTGATTCAGTGGGTACAGTGCTCATCTTGAATTAACAAAGTCCTGGGTTTGTTTCCCAGCACTGCACAAAATTGGGCATACTAGTGTATGTATATAATATTAGTACTTATAAGTTGGAGGCATCAGGTGTTGAAGGTGACCTTCAAAGTCAGCATGGGCTACACAAAATCCTGTCTTTTTAAAAAAAAAAGAAAAAGAAAAAGGAGTGTCTGGAGAAATGGCTCAGTACTCTTCCAGAGGACCTGGGTTCAATTCGCAGCACCCACATGGCAGCTCATAACTGCCTATAAATTCAGTTCCAGGGGGCCTGACACCCATGGCAAAACAGTGAACACAAAATACATAAGAGAAAAAAAAAGGCACTATTCGAAATTATCCTTACTCACCTCTTTGGGAGAGTTTAGAACTACCCCAGCAGCTAGTACCACTGGTTTAGTAACAGAAATTGGACTGGTAAAAGCAGACTCCCGGTTAGAGGAAAGGGATCCTGATTTGTGTTCCATTCTGTTAGCTTTCCAAGCATTGGGCTATATGGGAATAAAGAACAATCAGCAAAAAGTAACACACAGACAGGCACTTAGATGGCAAAATCAAAAGAAAGTGTGATACTTGTGTGGAAATATAAATTCCAAGAGCTTACCCATCAATATATGCAAAACCTTTCTGAGCTTAGGCAGATGGGTAACAGAAAAGCCACAAGCCCTGGTGTGGGTAGGGCTTTCTCTATCATAATAGTTCTCAAAGCATTTAATTGCAACCCTAATCTCTGTAATTGTGTGAAGAGACCCAGCATTATGCAATGATGGAGATGGAAGGACTACTCAGATGTTTGTATGTATATAATACACAGGAGTCACAGAAGACCTCAACAGGAATTTCTTCCTAGCTAAGAGAAAAAAGAGCAATAAAGTAGAATATACTTATGGGCCAGCCACAGTGGTGTACACCTTTAATCCCAGCACTCAAGAGGCAGAGGTAGGTGGATATGTGTGAATTCAAGGCCAACCTGGTCTACAAAACAAGTTCCAGGACAGCCAGAACTACATGGAGAAACCTAGTCTCGAAAAACCAAAAAAAAAAAAGAAGAGTAAAAGGGAAGTGGCAGCTAAGGTATTCAGCATGATTGATCAGACAGATGTTAATGTTATTAACAAAAACAACAAAGAACGACCTTACAAACAAAGCTAGTGAATTGGCACTGGCAGAGTCTGGCAATGAGAATATAATTCTACACTGTACAGGCACTGAATATCTAATGAACACTTTGTCAGAAAATACAAATATATTCAATAGCATGGGACTTATCAAATCTGTTTTTCAAAATTCCTATTGTGACTGCAACTCATACCTTAGAGGGAGGTGGTGCAGGCTTAGGAACCAAGTTCTTATAGACACTTGGGACCATAGTTGACACTTTGTTCCCATTTGCATGGTGGGATCCTGATGAGGTGAATGCAGCAGAGAAGGCAGCAACAGGATCCTCTTTGGAAACCTTTTTGATGACTAGCATCTTTGAGGGTTGCTTGGCACTAGGTGGATTTTCTGTGAAATATAAGAGTGGAGACACAGTTTAAACAATAGTTTTACCTTCAACATAGGACAAACATTACCTTGTGTTCATTTAACAAAAACCCTGAAGAATGACACAATGGGTAGGGAGGTAGTTCAGTTGGTGAAGTGTTTACCATGCAAGCATAAGTATATGAGCTAATCTCCAGAACCTGAGTTTAAAAAACAAAAGAAAACAGGGTACATATACTTGTAACCTCAGCATTGGGCAGATAGGTGAATCCCTGGGATTCTCTGGCCTGCCAACCTATCATACTAGGTCTACGAAACTGTTTAAAAAACAAGGTGGATGTCTTCTGAAGAACACCACCCAAGGATGACCAAATCTTGCCTTTGTGTATGAATGCATGTGCTCATGTGACTCAGGAAAAATATTAACACTTTTTAAAGTTCATTTTATTTTTAAACTAATGTGCATTAGTGTTTTGTCTGCACAATGCATGTGTGTCTAGTACCTATGGAGGCCAGAGGAGGATGTCAGATACTCGGAGTTAAATATGGTTGTGAGCTGCCATGTGGGTGCTGGGAATCAAACCCTGGTCCTCTAGAAGAGCAGCCAATACTCAAACCCTGAACCATATCTCCAGCCCCTTAATTTGTTTTTGGAGAAAAGGTCTCTTTGGCTAACCTGGAACTTCACTATGTAGCCCAGACTTGTCTTCGAACTCGAGAGATCCAGCTATCTCTGTTTTCCAAGTGCTGGGATTAAAGGCCTAGCCATTCCTTTTTTTTTTTTTAAATACCATTTGGTAACTGTACAGAAAAAAAAGGCAGCATATGAATCACTAAGTTTATAAACCAGTCTTGAAGCACAAAGATTTGCAGTCCTTAGAAGGGTTTAGCTTGTAAGACAAATAGGGTGATTGTTCAGGCACAACCAAGTAAGAATATACGTTAGTCATGAATGGAGAAGCAGGTGGACCTCTTTGGGCCACACAGTGAGACAATGTCTCAAAAAACCACCACTACCAAACATTATGAGGCCCAGTGAGATGGCTCAGTGTATACGACTCTAGCAGAACTAAGTTCAGTTCCAGGGACCATATCACCTATTAACTCTAGTTCTAGGAGAATCTATCATCCTCATCTGGACTTCCCAGGCAACCTGAATACATATACAGACACACACAAAAACAGAAACATTTAAACTCCCAAACAATTCAAGCTAAAACCACCAGAAAACAAAAACCCAAGTCTCAATTAGGATTCAACAAGCTTTCAATGGTCTGTATTGTGTCTCCACCAAAACCATTATGCTTGGATGGTTTTATGGGGATAGACTATTCTCCTATGGATGCTTACTGGCGACTAACGTGTTAGTTACCCTAGGCAAAAAGATGAGAAACAAGAATTAAGAACAAAAACAAAAAAGGAAGAATTTTTATTTTTCTATTAAATAATAATTTCAGGGCTGGAGAGATGGCTCAGAGTTTAATAGCACTGGCTGTTCTTCCAGAGATCCTGAGTTCAATGCCTAGCAACCACATGGTGGCTGCTCACAACCATCTATAATAAGATCTGGTGTGCAGGCATACATAATACTGTATATACAATAAAGAAATAAAATCTTTAAAAAAAATTTCAAGCTATGCTTTTAAGATAGCAAAATGTACCTACCCCACACTCCAGAAGGGGTCCCAATAGGTCTGCATGGCTGATTCTGTTTGCCAGCTTCTGGATTCAAAGAAGGCTAGGGAACAAAAGGGGGATATGAATGGTTGATAGACACAGAAAACTCATCACTTTGGAATTTCTCACAAAGTAACTATCACCAAAGCTACCAAAAAATTTATAAACTATCAGCTCCAACTAATAGTATATTAAAAATGTAAATTATGTTGAAATCTGAAATCAGTAGCTATTTTATTGTAGCTTGAGTCTTATTTTGTCAGTTTCTTATGTGTTAGTTATGCTTAACTACAGAGCCACACTACTAGCCCCTGAACATGTTCTTAAATTATATTCTATCTATAGTTCTCAGATACTATCCCTATTTATGCAGTATCTCCAATTTCATCACATTAGTTTAACTGTTAAATTATGTATTTATGTGCCTATTAAGCACATTGATGGTTTGTTTTGTTTTCTTGAGACAGGATTTCTCTGTGTAGCCCTGGCTGTCCGGGAACCCACTCTGTGGATCAGTCTGGCCTTGAACTCAAGAGATCCACCTGCTTCTGCCTCCCAAGTGTTAGGATGTGCATCACCACGACCAGTTTTCATCTGTGTAAAATTTATTTTTATTATATGTATGTTTGTATGCCTGTGGAGGCCAGATGCCTCAGATCTTCCCGGAGTCAGACTATGGGAAGTTGTGCACAATTTGATGTAGGTGGTAGAAACTGAACTCAGGTCCCCTTAAATGCGGAGCCATCTCTCTCCATTCTTATTAGCTGAGTGTCTGTGTGTGCAGTTCAAGAGACAACTTAAGTCACTTCTCTTCTTTGGCATAGGTCCTAGGGATTGAACTCTGGTAGTCAAGTTTGGTAGCAGGCAACTTTATCAAGGGAGCCATGAATCTTTTTTTTTTTATTTTTTTTAAGATTTATTTATTAATTATGAATACAACATCCTGCCTCCATGTATGGCTGCACACCAGAAGAGGGCACCAGATCTCACTATAGATGGTTGTGAGCCACCATGTGGTTGCTGGGAATTGAACTCAGATCCTCTGGAAGAGCAGTCAGTGCTCTTAACCTCTGAGCCATCTCTCCAGCCCAAGGGAGCCATGAATATTTTAGGTAGAGGTCTAAGTAGCCTTTAATTCTTTTCCATGTAGAATGAAAAAAAAATACTTCATCTTATAATACCTTGTTCACAAATGTATTTCAAGACCACAAGCTAGGTACCTTGTTCACTAATAGAGGGCTTTGATTTGTTTTTATAGGAACATCCAAATTTAGACAAATTTATTGAAATTTTCAATTTAGTTAAGTTGGGCTCAACTTAGGTTTTTTGTGTTTCCATTTTATTTTAATGGGTATTTTGTCTGCATGTATGTCTGTGTACCACATGTATGCCTGGTCCCTCTGGAGGCCAGAAAAATGTGCTGGATCTCCTGGAACTGGAGTTACAGATGGTTATGAGCTTCCTGGTAATGCTGGGAACTGAACCAAGTCCTCTCAAGTAGCCACCAATGTGCTTACTCATGAAGCTACCTCTCTAGCCCAAACTTGAAGTAAAGATGGCTTAGATCCTCCTGCAGCAGGATCCTCTCTACCACTTTAGACTGTGTCTCTACATAGCAATGCCAGTATTTTACAGATACTTTCAGACATGTTTTTTTTTTATTTTCTCCTCAGAACTAGTTATACAGTATATCTTCACTTTAGGGACTATAAATAGTACACGCTGTAATCTCTATTAGTTCACACATACACACATCAAGCACCATATGCATGCTATAAAAGTACTCCTGCCTTTAACCTAATCACTCCAAGTTCTGGTTTCTATTAAGTAATCAGCTGCAATCGAGGAGAGTTTTCACATGACAATATGAACTCTATCACTGAGCCATAGCCACAGACACCGACTACACAGTGAATATCTATCTTTTGTTGATTGTCTTTCTGGTGCTTCTATGCCTCTTCTGAGGGTGATGAAAGGTGTGCACCACAACACCTGGCTTTACTTTCTTTAATGTCTACCTCTTACCTTTTATCTAAGCTTTTTCCTTTGTATATTATTTCTATCTGTGCACAGCTCACTCCAGAATATATTGCCAACAGTTGTCCTCAGTGAGGAGCTTTGTTCAAGAACAGAATACTGGTTGGTTTTATATGGATCAGGCAGGCCTCTAAATCAGAGATTAGCCTGTCTCTGCCTTTTAGTGCTGGGATCACAGACTTGTGACACCATGCCTGGTTTGTATATTCATCTCAAAAAAAAAAGTGCAAATTACTGAATAAAGATAACAGTGATTATATGCTAAAAAGATAATATACCGGGCATATTTATTTATTTAGATTTTACAAGATAGGGTTTCTCTGTTTTGGAGGCTGTCGGTCCAGCCTGGCCTTGAACTCACAGAGATCCGCCTGCCTCTGCCTCCCCAGTGCTGGGATTAAAGGCGTGCGCCACTACCGCCCAGCTGATAATATATCCTTTTAAGGGTGTTTGTGACTAGCCACGGTGGCTCAGTAGCTAAGGGTGCCTGTCATTAAGCCTAATGACTTAGTTCAATCCCAGGCCTCTATACAGTGAAAAGAACCAACTCTTGAAAGTTGTCCTCTGACCTCAAGACATGTATATGTATGGCATATGTGCATTCATACACACATAATAAAAATCAAATTAAACTATAATCTAAGCATCAAATGTCATTGACTACAGTTAACAGCCCCAAAATTTTATACTTTATTGTGCAAAATCCACAAAAAATTTTTTTAAAATAAAGGCATAATAGATATAAACAGAAATAAATTCAAATGGGCCCCAGGCTGAGATTTGTGGTACACACCTTTAATCCCAGAACTCTGAAGGCACAGGCAGGTAGAGCACTGAATTTGAAGGTCAGCCTGTTCTACAAAGTGCGACCCTAACACAAATAAACAGGGTCCTATATTTCTAAAAGACATTGTTTACTTTTAACTATGCAGTTAAAAGCTTCATACTTACAAAGTCTTCCTCTTCGAACTGCAATTTTTCTACTTTAACCTCTTTTTTTTCTTCCCGAATCTCTGTTGGTGGTTTTTCTTGAAAGGCACAGCCTTTCCGAGAGTGGAAGCTGCCATTCCAGTGTCGATGGTTTCCTGTGCTACCTCCACTTCGTTGGCTCATGCCATCATGACCTCGGGAAGAGCCATGCCAACCAGATAAATTCCCTGTGGTTCCAGCATATGCCCCCTTAGAGACTCCAGAGTCCACAGAATCATGACGGAATAGAGAGGGTTGGTGCCAAGAATCTAAAATAGCAAAGAAAAGTAAGGTAGTATTTGTCTGTTTCTTATAAATCTAGAAATGACTTGGTCAAATGCTTCCTGCTTTGCTTAAAGTTACTTTCAAAAGGCCTTCAGAAAACCATTAAGTCCACATAAACAGGGTAGTGGTGGCACAAACCTTTAATCCCAGCACTCAGGAGGCAGAGGCAGACAGATCTCTGTGAGTTTCAGGCCAGTCTTGGTCTACAGAGTGAATTTCAAGGTTACGAAGAGAAACCCTGTTTTGAAACAAACAAAGTCCACATAAAGAAACCATTAAATATACCTCTTCTTTGTGAGGCAATTCTCCCAGCCTCAAGGTATTGGAAATCCAGCTGAGGGTCCTGCTGTGTTAATGTACACATTACCACCGAGTAAATTCCCCATTCCTTCTCAATTAGTTCTTCATTGAAAAGATGATTCATGACAACATGTTAGGTGTAGAAACTCGGTAATGACTACTTCTAGATTATTGACAGATAGCCAGCCTGAGTTTGACCTAAACAGCAGTTTATTTGTTGTTTGTTGGTTTTTTCTTTCTGTAGCCCTGGCTGTCCTGGAACTAGCTCTGTAGACCAGGCAGGTCTCCAACTCAAGAGATTCATCTGTCTCTGTCTCCCAAGTGCTGGAATTACAGGCATGCACTACCATTGCTGTTTTGGTCTTTGTGAGACAATACCTCACTATTTAACCTTGTCTATCTTGAAACTAGGCAGACTAAGCTGGCGTGGAACTCACAAGAGATCCACTTGCCTCTGTCTCTTGAGTGCTGGGGATTAACAGTGTGCACCATCATGCCTGGCTCTAAATAGTTTAAATATATGGTCAAAACAGCTGGAAATGACTCACCTCCCGTAGTCCTTAGAGGTCCATTGTTAAAAAAGCCATCCGAGGAATTATGTCGACGACGGCTTACTCCAAATCTACCTTCCCCACGGGATAGGTGCTCTCCGTGTTTGTCAAAGGTGGCTGTAGATGACTAATATTATAAAATGTAGAGAGGCAAAGATTTAGTTTCTTTCAGTATATTATTAGGTTCTAAATCAGGTATTAAAAAACAACAACCTGTGTGGCAGTCCAACATTAGCACTAAGTAAGACTGAGACATAATTGTGTGAGTTCAGGTCAGCTACACAGGAGACCTTGCCTCAAAACTAAACAAAAAAAGCTAGTATTATAGATGTGAACCACCATAACCAGTTTACTACAATTTCTGTTTTGTGATTCAGGGTCTCATTCTCTAACACAAATGGCCTAGAATATACTATGTAGCCAATGTTTGCAACAGACTTATGGCAATCCTCCTACCTTAGCTCCCAGACTACTGGGATTACAGCCATGATCCACCACTTCTGTATTACCATTGTCTTAAAATACTTCTTTTTAAGCCGGGCGTTGGTGGCGCACGCCTTTAATCTCAGCACTTGGGAGGCAGAGGCAGGCGGATCTCTGTGAGTTCAAGACCAGCCTGGATTGCCAAGTGAGTTCCGGGACAGCCTCCAAAGCCACAGAGAATCCCTGTCTCAAAAAACCAAAAAAAAAAAAAAAAAAAAAAAAAAAATTCTTTCTAAACAGTACTTCATATTTGTGGCAATACTATAATTTTAGTATCAGCTTCATCTTATTTATACATGAGGGAAAAAATCAGGGGGATTACAAGTCTTTGAATTTAAATAAATACAAGAGGCTTTTGAAAGATCACAGGTTAACTCTAATATTCCTATTCCATAGATTTTTATTCTAAGTCTCTTTTTTGAGTGTGTGTAAGTGGGTGTCTAGACACATGTAGGTATACAGAAGCCTAAAGTTGACATACTGTGTCTTCTTTGCTTGCTCTCTATTTCCCAAGGCAGGGACAATCACTCCTGGAGTTCACTTATTCAGCTAGACAAGCTTGCCTGAGGAATCCTGTTTCCATTTTCCTAGTATTGGGATTAACATTAGAATTATTGGTGGGTCACTGTGCTTACCCAGGTTTTAAATTGAATGCTGGGAATCCAATCTTTGATTCCCATGCTTGTACATTACTTTATAAACTGAGCCTTCTCGTCAGCTTTCTATACATCTTTTACCTATAAGTGATACTGGTGGTTGGTTTAAGTTGTCAGCTTCACTGAACTATCTTGAATGTGACTATGTGTGGTTTCCAGAGAAGGGTCAATGCGACTGAGCAGGAAAGATCCTCCCTGAGTTTTGCTGACACTATCACATACGTGTGAGGAAAAGGAGACGAGCAAGCCACTTACTGTGACCTTATTTGAGCAGGGACCTTATTGGTTTTTTTGCCCTTACCATTTTTCAAAGACCTTCAAGGGCACTTGCACATATGTTTACACACACATTAAAAAAAGAGATTAAGAGGTACTGGCTTTAAGATAGACACTGATGTGAATTGCATACTTACTCACTCTTTCCTTATTTTATTTAGTTTGTTTATTTATTTTGTTTTTTTTTTTTTGAGACAGGGTTTCTCTGTATAGCCTTGGCTGTCCTGGAACTTGCTTTGTAGACAAGGTTGGCCTTGAACTCACAGAAATCTGCCTGCCTCCCAAGTGCTACTACCACAGCCCAGCATCCTAGTTCTTTTCATCCTGACTGGTGTGTGGCTTCTGTTTCAGATTTCAGGCTGTACTGCCGTTCTTGTTTTGGCTATTTTATCTATCATCCATCCATCCACCCACCCACCCACCCACCCACCCACCCATCCACCCCATCCATCTATCTATTAGCCCCCCACTCCAAGACAGGATTTCTCTGTGTAGCTTTGTAGACCAGGCTGACCTTAAACTCAGAGATCCACTTCCTCAGCTTCCTGTGTGCTAGGATTAAAGGCATGTGCCTATAATGCCAGGCTTTTGTTTTGGTTATTTTGAAGGGACCCAGACTCAACACCCAGAACCCATAGGGTAGCTCAAACCACCCAGAGGGGATCTGATTCCCTTCTCTGATCTCTTTGAGCAACTGGCATACATGTGGTAAACATAGATACATATATTTTGAGCAAGACACTGACACATGTAAAATAAATCTAAAACAAAACAAAACCAAAAACAATAAAAAGAAAAATTAAGAAAAGAAGAATATGCTCAGAGGCAGAGGCAGGCAGATCCGTAAGTTCGAGGCCAGCCTGGTCTACAGAGCTAGTTCTAGGACTGCCAAGGCTACACAGAGAAACCCTGTCTTAACTTCCCCCATCCCCCACCAAAAAGAGAAAGGAAAAAAAAAAAGAGAGAGAGAGAGAGAGAGACAAGAACTGGTATGTTTGAGTAGTTAGTAGGAATGAAAAGGCGTACCTTAGCTGTCTGTGGAGTTGAGAAATTTAGCCAAGCAGGAACAAAGTCATGCTGCGCCATTTAGGTCCAGTGTCTTTTCAGCAAGATGAGGCATCCAACCTCATGGCCAGGATCTAAGAGGCAACACAAATCACTCATGGTTCTAACAGTATGACATAAAAGGAGTCTGTGATTAATCTACAATCCTCCTTTACAAAGCACCTAACCCCTGAATTTGCCTACAGATTACTCCCAAGAATTCCAATAAAAGCAACGGTTTCCTGCTGTTTTATGACTATGAAAACACACATGTGCGCGATGGAAATATGGAAGGTTATATGAAGGAAGCAAATGTGTTCTTGAGTTTTAGCCTATGATTAAGCAAACAAACACGTATTTTAAAAAATTACAGTAGAAACTGGACCTGCTGATGCACACCTTTAATTCCAGCATTCAAGAGGCAGAGGCAGGTATCGATTTGTGTGAGTTCAAGGCCAACCTGGTCTACAAAGCAAGTTGTAGGACAGCCAGGAATACTACACAGAGAAACATGCTCTGAAAAGAACCAATCCTTGCCCCCCCCCAAAACACACACAAAAAACTTTCAACCATTAGATATCTATATAACATTGGTTTTCAAATTGTGGGTTGCAACTCCTGTTGAGAAGGACCATTCACAGTGTTGCATATCAGATGTCCTGCATATCAGATATTATTTATATTATTATTCTTAACAATAGCAAAATTAGTTATGAAGCAGCAAAGAAAAAAAGCCATGTTGGGGGTCACCACCACGTGAGGAACTTAAAGGGTCATAGCATTAAGAAGGTTGAAAATCACGGCTATAGAACCTCATGAGCTTTTCCATTTACAAATATTTCCTCACACACCAACTTGTATCAGTTTTCCTCAGAGATAGCACTGATGTACACAAATCATTGATATTTTCCAAAATTAAATACTTCATAGCATAACACATTTTTCCCACAGCATATACTTGTGTATGTATTCTCCTAAAGACACATGGATGATATTTACCCTCAGAGTGTCACCTCTGTGGTCCTGTTTCCAAAGTTGCCAGCTGTATCTTCCACGAGGTTTTCTTGTAAAAAGGGTGCTTAAGCAGCCTGGCCAGCAGCACGCCTTGTGATGAAGCACAAAGAAGCCCAGCTCTGTGTGGCTCACTCTCTTAATCCTCTCAATTACTCATCCTGAACTATCTAGTTCCTGACACGTTTCCAAAGGGGAAAGGGGGAAGGGGAAGGGGGAAGGGGAACATAAAAAGTTATTTGTTACATTTAAAAAAGGGGGGAAAGGGGGAAAAGCTATTTCTACGTTCACCTCATTCAACTTCCTTGAGTAATGGCACTATAATGTTGTTCAAATAGGCAAAACATGTACATTTGCACAGTGAGTGCAAATACTGTTCATAACAAGGTCATAGCTAGAAAGACAGGTGGTTTCAGGTGTGGGCAAGAAATGTCATCAAGATGAAAGACCAAAAATGTAATAGTAAAGCACTATAAGATATCTTCTGAGCAATCAATTCCAGTGGCAAAATACCTACAACAAAAGCCTTTAAAATACAAATGTCATTATCTTACACAACTGCTTAAAACAGTGTGGATATATTCTTTTATCTGTCTTAAAATTCAAAATCTAAAGATATAAGGAATTTTGATTTGTTGGGTTTGTTGTTTTTAAATAAAGGAATCAGACAGAAACTTGATATATCTTTCCTGCCACGGAATAGCAGCTTTCAAGGCGAATTTCTTGGTATAAAGCTTCTAATATGTATCCTATTTCTTTGGTCTTTACTATTTATAAATTCAAAGCAAAATTATAAGTAGAAAAGGGTCAAGGAGAAATTCCAAAATGAGGGTTTCTTCTTATCAATTTTCTGTTATTTCACTTGTTCTCCTCCTTCCCAAAAACTGAACTGAGCTTTCCAGAAGTGATATGAAGAATCTTCTATTGCTTTATTGAAGAAATCACTTTCTAATTTGGGTCCATCTCCATCATTACTCAATCATTAAAAAGGCCACTTGAATCTACCAATCTACAAATGAGAAAACAAAAATTAAAACACATAATTAGAAAAGGCAAAACCAGTCACATCTAACTTTGAATGAATGTATCAAACCATGATCTTGACAGTAAAATCCTTAAGTTCAATTTAGATACTAATTTAATTTGTCAGGGCCTGAAGCATGACTGAGTCTTTTTGTTGTTGAGACAAGGAAATTGCTACTCTGTCCAGGTTTTTCCTGACCTGAACACCCTCTGCCTCAGTCTTCCAAGCACTCAGACTACAGGCATATTCTACCACACCCAACCTTTGTTAAGCCCTTGGAAGGTTTTATCTGTCACTTGACCAGACTTTTTTTTTTTTTTGAATCAGGGTTTCTCTGTGTAGCTTGTAGACCAGGCTGGCCTAGAACTCACAGAAATTCGCCTGCCTCTGCCCATTGACCTTTAATACAACTGTTTCTCCAAGTAGACATCAAAGTTAATTCAGAAATGTTAATTACTGGATCTTTTTACATCTAGATTTCAACTTACCTAGGTCAAAAGCATACAGTGGGCCGGGCGTTGGTGGCTCACACCTTTAATCCCAGCACTCAGGAGGCAGAGGCAGGCGGATCTCTGTGAGTAGGAGACCAGCCTGGACTACAATAGCTAGTTCCAGGACAGCCTCCAAAGCCACAGAGAAACCCTGCCTCGAAAAACCAAAAATAAAAAAAAAAAAAGCATACAGTGTGTAGAAATACGACCAGTGGCATCACTGCCTAATTATTAGGTATTATTCAAAGGTAGATCCTTAAAACAACCTATCTGCCTTACATATTTCAGATAACTATCGATTTAGAGACAAAAAGCTCTTCTGATCTGACTCGATATGTACTAACATGACAAAAATATTGCTTTGGAAAATTCTTAACATTCTTCCAGGGGCTACAATCTTTTCTGACAGGAGAACTTTTGTATTTTTGAGAAGGTTCTAGTAGGCTGACAAATCCTATGCATTACTGTGTTAAGTTTATGGAACACAAAATACCAAGTTCAAGACAGCAAACATACATATCTGTGAAGAAATGAAGAGAAAGGAACTACAAGGAAGTGCCAGAGGTATTTAATCACTGTTTTTCAAGTTGAATGCTGAGTAAAAAACATTTAGTCTATTTTCTTCATGTGTTTCTTAAGTATTAAAACAAGTACACACAAAGTTTAAGTAAAAGATAAATGCCTTTTATTCCTTGAATGTATGTGGAACAGTCATAAAAACTGACCATGTTGCTGGGCATGGTGGTTTTTAATGTCAACAGTTGGGAGGCAGATGGATCTCTGTGAGGTACAGGCTAGGTAGAACTATGTAATGGGACAGTGTCTTGTTAGGGAATAATCTTTTTGTACAGGGTTAAGATATGTCTTTCTTTGCCAAGGGACCTTTGGAATGGTTTAATAAAGAGCCGAATGACTCTAAGCTAAGCAGGAAGAAGTCAGGCATGATTTCTTGGCAGAGAGAGAGAATTAGAGATGAATCTAGGCACGGGGACACCAGAGGACATGGAAAGGAATCAGAACCACACAATGACCATGTCTTAAAACAACAAAACAAACATAAGCAAAAGGAACACATAGGGCTAGGGAGACGGTTTAGCATTGGGGTGAGAAGTTAAGAAAAATTTAGATTTTTGTTTTTTTGAGACAGGGTTTCTCTGCATTGTTTTGGAGGCTGTCCAGGAACTGTAGACCAGGCTGCCTGCCTCTGCCTCCCAAGTGCTGGGATTAAAGGTGTGCACCACCAACGACTGGCTAAATTTAGATGTTTTTGAAAAGTGTTATGTGAACCCACTTCTTTGTAATTTAATCTAAGAAAAACTTTGAACAGAGATACTCTACACAGGTGAGCAATGTTTCCCCCACAACGCATTGGTTATTAAATAAAAATCTCAATGTCGGGTATTGGCTATCTCCCTGAGTTACTTACTCGTCAGACAGACCAGTGAAACCACACAAGCTATTGCCTCTGCTGGATTGTCTAGTGTAAGTAGACCCTATTGCTGAAAACACAACATACTTTGGTTGTAATGCATGGAAAAACCAAGCTGGAACTGAATGAAACAAGACTTTTTTTTTCTTTTCTATTTTTAGTTTGTGTGTCTGTGTGAGCATAACCACACGTATGTAGGTGGCCACAGTGACCAGAAGAGGCAGCATATTCCCCAGGACTGGAGTTACAGGCAGCTTCAGGCCACCTTATTTAGATGCTGGGAACTCTAACTCAGGCTATTAGGGAAAAGCAGCAACTGTTCTTAACCAATAAGCCATTTCTACAACACCAACAGATATTTCTTTGTCCCAAATATGAGAAGCAGGAAAATTGTGAGTTTGTGCTGGTTCTTAGGGAAGTAGGAGAAAGCACATTAGGGTAAGAGAATGTCTAGAGTTTCAATTCTGGACAACTGGAGAAAGGTTCAGACAGTACATATAGGGTGGTCCAGAAGACATAAAAGGGAAGCATCCAATTTTGGTTTACAATTTATTTCCATTATTTGGAGGCTGTAGGTTTTTATCTCTTTAAACAGAGCAGTATAATTTAAGTCATAAAGGACTGTGTCATAGAATAATCTCTTTGTATATTGTGAAGATGTCTTTGCCAAGGCACCTTCTGATTGGTTTAATCAAGGGCAGAAAGAGGTTAGGCGGGACTTCCAGGCAGAGACAAAAGGATGTGAATGTAGGTGCTGGAGAGACGCCAGAGCACATGGAGAAAAACAGAAGGTGCAAGATGTAAGAGGGGTTAAAAAGCCACGAGGCAAAACAGATGAATATAAATGGGTTAATTTAAGTTACAAGTTAGTGGGACAAGCCTAAGCTATTGGTCGAGCTTTCATAATTTGTGAGTGGCCCCCCAAAAAAATCCATCTCCAGGTCTGGCAGATAGGAGGATTCTTGTTATCAGGTTCAGATCACTTTCCATAATGTTTTCTATGTCCCATTTCTGGTCACTGGTTGTCAAGTTTATATTGTGACCACATAATATTGCTAAAGAAAATTAAGTTTGTTTGGTTTTTTGCTTGATCTCACTTTCCCCTAAATAATTTTAAGGTTCCAAATAAGACAGCCAAATGGGGGCTGGAGATATAGTTCAGAGGTTAAGAGCACTGGCTGCTTTTCCAGAGGTCCTGAGTTCAATTCTCAAAATCCACATGGTGGCTCACAACCATCTGCAACCATCTGTAATGAGATCTGGTGCCTTCTTCTGGCATGAAGGCAGAACACTGCATACATAATAAATAAATAAATAAATAAATAAATAAATAAATAAATAAATAAATAAATCTTTTTTTTAAAAAAAAAAAAGCCCAACAGAGAGTCAGTCTACATGTAACATCACTAGGATGTTTAGTGACTCCAGCAAAAAAGGGAAAGAAAGCCTCAGACATCTCTGGGGTCTTTTACATTTACTTTTAAAGTTAAGATCAGGTGCATGCCTTTAATCCCAGAGGCCGGCAGATCTCTGTAAGTTTGAGACCAGCCTGGTCTACAAGAGATAGTTCCAGGACAGCTTCCAAAGCCACAGAGAAACCGTGTCTCAAAAAACAAAAACAAATAAACAACAACAACAAAAAACCCAAAACAACAACAACAAAAAAAATCTTTCCAGGAGAAATGTGCTGGGGAGCATTTCAGTTCATTAGTCTTTTAATAATGCCAGCCACTCATAGCAGAATAAACGTGAATATGGTATGTCACAGAAAAAAAGTAAAATTTATCAATTTTAGAGGTAGGGATCTTTGTTTTGTTTTTTGAGATACAGTTTATTTAGTCCTGGCATGGGGACCAGGATGGCTTCCTCCAACTCACAGAGATCCTCCTGGGATTAAAGGTATATGCTGCCTCGCCTTGCCTAGATGGGAGGGAATGGGGCTCTGATCATAGAAAGGGAAAGGATCTTTGAATTTAGCAGATTAGTGAAGATACAAATGAGATACAGTAATTTAAGGTAGAGTTAACAAATGCAGTAATTTAGGAAGTTAATTCTATTGTCCCACCCTACCTTGGGACAGTCACCTACTACAAACTTAGTTTAGGGAAAGTACTAGATAGGATCTCAGGTGTGGCTGATACAGGGTCAGCCTCTGAGATCTAACAGATTTATTTTAAGTATTATGAAACAGTCAAATAAAGAGAAAAAGAAAGGAAAGATGGCAGGCAAGCCCTAGCATGGGAATACATTCTTATAAATCTAGGACTGGGGGCTGGTAGAGGTAAGCAGGTAAGCAGAAACCATCCCCAGGGGACTGACCCACCAGAGTAGTCAGTTCTAGGTCAGTGAGAGATTCTTGTCTTAAAACAAAAAAAGTGGGGAGGAACACTGCCTGAGGAACAATATCCAAAGTTGCCTCTGACCTCCAGACATACAAAGAACATGTGTGTACAAAAAAAGGCACCTGGGCAGTGGGGGTGGAGTTAATGGACATAAATCTATATATTTAACCAATAATCTGGCTAAAGTGGTGTACGTCTATAATTACAGCACGAAGATCACAAGTAAGGTCATGCTGGGTTACAGCATGAGAACATATCTCAAAATCAACATTAGGACTGGTGGCATGACCCAGCCTATAAAGGTACTTGATGTTGGACAATATATATGCAAGCCTGACAACTGACTCTGACTAAGTTCAGTACCTTGGATCCATGTAAAGGAAAGAGAGCACCAACTCCAGTTACTTCATCACCTCCACAGAAGTACCATGGCATGTGTGCCACTTTCCCCCAGAATCACACAGACAATAAGAAATAAAAATTTTAAAAGCTGAGCTGTGCATGGTGGCACATGCTTTTAATCCCAGCACTTGGAAGACAGAGGCAGGCAGATCTCTGTGAGTTCGAGCCCAGCCTGGTCTACAGAGTAAATTCTAAAATAGCCAGATCTACACATTAAGAATTTATTTAAGGAAGTCAAAATAAAACAATACTCTTTAAAAAATTAAAACAAAACCCATTTCTGAAATGCAACCTAGAAAAACAATGCCTCATACTTTCCTG